AGTTTATCTCGGTTTTTATTGTAAATCGATTATTACGAACCTGAAGAGAACAATGCTGGCCTTTTCTTTGGAAGACTACCGAATCCACTACTGGCACTGGCTATAGAACCCGCCAGTGATCCACTAGATACGTAATCCTCACGATTGGTACCTCTGTCTGGACCGACGACCTCGTCAGTGGCACCTGGAGGACCACCTGGGACACCTGGCACTGCCAATTGCGTTTGTTTCAGCGAGGGAGAGGGTCTGAAAATCAAATATCTCTTCATTATTCATAAATTTGAAATAATTAAATTAATAATAATAATTCTTTTTATTACGAGGAAAAACACTTGAAATAAAAGTGGAATTTTCACTCATTAAATTCGTTAATTAAATTTCCCATTCGAAAAAAATGTTTTCAATCCATAAATCATTGAATTTATATTTTCAATTTATTTTTAACGATTTCAGTTGTGAAAATGGAATTGCTGGGGAAATTAAAGAAGGAAATGAGAGAAGTTGGAAAAAATTGAAGGAAAAATTCAGTGTCGAGGACTCATTATTGGAATAACGAAACTTTGTGGAATTTAAGAAGTGATTTCTAACGTAAACTGGGGGAGAAACTTACACTTTGAAAAGTATGTCACCAGAGAGCATATTCATCTTTATTGCTACTCTGAGCATGGAATTATCCTGTCTGTGTCTTGCATCGTAACCCTCGAGGAGACATCGTCTCCGACACAATCCAGCTCCAGCGAATTCAGCGAGGTTGAGATCAGTGAAGCCGAGTTTTTGGAAGGACCTGCCTCCCTTCAGCTCCTGGACATTCACAAATGAATAATAATCATAATTATTTGCAATTAATTATAAAAAATTGAGTAGACAAGAAGAGAAGTCTAATTACTGCACAGAATTTTTTTTCGTTATGGATTTTACTCGAGAATGATCGATTTAGCAAAAAAATCCCAAAGAACTTTTTTCTATGAAATTAAATTTCCAAAAAAAAAGTCCTTCTGGGATTTTCCGATAAACCCAATAGTTTCCGTGATATTTAACAAATCTAAATCTCGCGGTAGCTCTTGGCTACTGAATTCAGGGCAATTGTTAATCCTCTTCACCGAGGGATCCCTAGATGAATGGTAATGTACATTTCATAATTCCATAGTACTGAGCAATAACTCATACCTTTCTCACAGATATCCTGAGGATACAGGGATCGAGAATCCCAGTGGACGCATTTGCACTCATCTTACAGAGAAATTCAAATTTAGCATTCCATCTCACCGTGTGTTCCCCGACTTCCTCCCTGAAAAATAAATACAAAAATTTTAAAAACATTCCTCAAGTCCCATCAATTCCCCACCTCATTAATTAATCCCCCTAATTACCCCACAATCGCCTAAAGTAATTCCATCAACCTCAAAATTCCGTACCAAAACAACAGACCCCAGTTTTCACCGAATATCTCACAATCCCCGGGACCCACCAATTTTTTGGTGAAATCATTTTCTATAGAAAAAATCGAGATCTGCAAAAAAGGTATCCATGAAAATATCGCTATCTCTCTCCAATTCTGAGATATCGACGAAAAACTGGTGGTGAAGAAATGCAAAAAGAGAATTGACGGATAATTAACGAAAAATAATCAATTAATTATAAATAATTGATGATTAATCAATGAAGTAGATGTGGTATTGAGTAAAAACCAGGAAATGGAGGGAGATTGACAGAAAAATAAATAAGAATGTCACGCGAAATGTTGGCATTGACAAATAAAAATTGTTCATTGCCATTTTTATCCTGTCAACGCATCATTGGCTAAATAATCATCATCACGTGCCAACGGTTAACAATTGCTGCGTAATCTCTC